TTTCCAGGGCTCCAAAGAAAAAAGTTGGGAGAGGCGGCCAAGGGGGGGGGGGGTTGGGATTGGGATGGATCCGGGCCAGGATACGGCAGCAGCTGCGGATTCCCTTTGGAGCAGGTGATTGGATGAGAATTCCAAGGAATTCGGGGGGAAAAGCAGACCCAGGAGGTGCTGGGGATGGGGATGATTCCCAAAATTCCCCTCATTTCCAGGTGGGAATAACATTGATCCATCCATTCTGTCAATCCAGAGGAGAGGATTTACACAGCAGGAATATTCCCAAAAAAAACAGGGAATCTGCTCCCCCCCACACCGTGGAAAGCCACAGAAATTTAGGGAGATTCCCATCCCTCAGACCTGGAATGGGGGGCTCCCAAATCCTGGGAATTCCCCACATCCTGCTTTCTGGGGGGCGAGGAGACCCCACAGGGAATGTGGGAAACCTCCCCCTCCTCTCCTTTTCCAGAACTATTATGGGAAAAGGGATCTAAAATATCGGGAAGGGGGGTCATCCCAGTATTCCTTGGGATTTTGAGCAGGGAAAAGTAATCCCAAAAATCAAGGGCATCCCAAATCCTCTCCCTCAGGACTCTGGGAGAAAGGGGAGCGTTCCCATATTCCCCTTCCCAGAACTATTAGGGAAAAGGGGATCTGAAATATTGGGAAGGGGGGTCATCCCAGTATTCCTTAGGATTTTGAGTGGGGAAAAGTGACCCCAAATCCAAGGGCATCCTAAATTCTCTCCTTCAGGACTTTGAGGGTGTTCCCAAAACCCCTTTCCCAGAACTATTAAGGGAAAAGAAACTCAAAACATCGGGAAGGGGGATCATCCCAGTATTCCTTGGGATTCTGAGTGGAGAAAAGTGACCCCAAAGGAAATCCTAAACCTTCTCATTCAGGGCTTTGAGGGGTGTTGCCAAAACCCCCTTCCCAGAGCTGTTTAGGTCCCTTTTCCCTTAAACATATGGAAAAGAGGGATGACCCCACTATTCCTTGGGATTTTGAGTGGGGAAAAGTAATCCCAAAAAACCAAGGGCAGCTTAAATTCTCTCCTTCAGGACTTTGGGGGGTTCCCAAAATCCCCTTCCCTGAATTATTAAGGGAAAAGGGACCTAAAATATTGGGAAAGGGCAGGGGAGTCATCCCAGTATTCCTTGGGATTTTAAGTGGGGAAGAGTAATCCCCAAAAATCAAGGAAACCCGAAACCCTTTCCTTCAGGACTTGGAGGGAGGGTGTTCCCAAAACCCCCTTTCCCAGAACGATTAAGGGAAAAGGCATCCAAAACATCGGGAAGGGGGATGGATCATCCCAGTTTTCCTTGGGATTTTGAGTGGGGAAAAGTGACCCCAAATCCAAGGGCATCTTAAATTCTCTCCTTCGGGACTCTGAGAGCGTTCCCAAAACCCCCTTCCCAGGACGATTATGAGAAAAGACTCAAAACATCGGGAAGGGGGATCATCCCGGTATTCCTTGGGATTTTGAGTGGGGAAAAGTGACCCCAAAAGGAAATCCTAAACCTTCTCATTCAGGGCTTGGAGGGTGTTCCCAAAACCCCCTTCCCTGAATTATTAAGGGAAAAGACACCCAAAACATTGGGAAGCGGGGAGGGATCGCCCTTTTTTCCTTGGGAATTCTCCCACGCCAAACGCACCCCAAAGGACCACGAGGGGCACCCCCCCCACCCGTGGGGAGGAGGCAAAGGACGCTCCGGGGAGCCCCGAACTCCCACTGGAGAGTCTCAGCAAGGAGGGATGAAGGATCCCAGGAGGGGGATAAGGATCCCAGGGGGGTGGGAAAAGGAGGGAAGGGATTCGGGACTCACCGCGCGATCCCCCCCACGCCGAGGAAGCTCCGCTCCCTTCGGCCGCCGCCGGGATAAAGGGGGGCGGCGCCCCACGCGCGGAGCGTTATGGGGGCGGCGCGTACCACGCGCGAGGGGAGGGGGGAAAAAAGGGGGGTTCACGCAGGGGAAACAACGCGCCGAACACATATAGAGTGGCTCATCCCACTCCGCGTGGGAAGGGAGAGGTGGGATATCCCCACGCCCCCCCTTTCCCCGTGGATATTTGGATGCGTGGTTCCCTCCTTTCCCCCCCGTTTTCGCTGCAGAGTGGATTCGTCCTCGCACCTTCGGGGCGCCGGTGGGTTGTGCCACTCCGCGGGGAGGGGGGGGGGGTGCGCCGCCTCGCTGCACCTACCCACTCCCACGCACACGCACCGCTACCCTGCTTCTCCGGGGGTGTTTCTCCTGTTTTGTAAGGAAACAAAAAGGGGGGAAAGGGGGAGTGCCCTCGCTGCGAGTGGGGAGCGCTGCGTTCCCCCACTCACCCTCCGTGACAACAAGGTGGAACATCCCGTGAGGGAGGCGAGCGGCGTGGGGTGGGTGGGGGGGGAGGCAGCGATGGGGGGGCGCACCCCCCTCTTCGCAGAGTGGTACAACCCGCGGGCCCTGGCGGAGCTGCGAGGACGAAACCAACTCGGCAGAGAAATGGGGGGGGGGGGCG